TAGCCAGAGCGCGCTACCAACTGCTGGTGTCGGGTCGGCGGGCGCGGGGCCGAGATGGCTGGGCCGCACGCCTGCACGGACGGACCCTGCTGTTCCCGCCCCGGTGCGGTGCCCGGCGTGCAGCAGACGCTGGAGGAGATGGACTTCGAGAGGGGTGAGGCGGCCGGTCATGTGGGGCTTCCACGGACGTGGAGTTCCCACGGACGGGAGCAATGGAGGAGGCCGCGAACCGGACCCGAGGGTTTCCGGGCCTGGTGCGGGGATGGCAGGTGGGGACTTTGAGCTCCCGCGTTATAATGAGAGGCAGCGGAGACCTTGCACGGGCTGGGCCACGAGACACTCCGTCTCTTGCGCAGGCGGGGAAACTGAGACATTGATTTCTGTAACTATCCCGAGTCGTGATCTGGGCCTGAATCCTCACCTGGTGATGGCCTCGCCTGGGAGACCCAAGCTTGCTCAGGTGTCAGAAGGGTCGGGAAGCAGACTCTGCAACTGGGACATTGCACCACCTGAGGGCGTGAAGCGAGCTTCCGGCCTGGTGGCGTGCAAGGCTCCTGGGTGCTTTGGGCAGTGTGTGTGCGCCTTAGCTGTGACCAGGCACTTCTGCCGACAGCCTTTGTGGGAGGGGGTGGAGTGGCATCCCCCCTAGGGCTCCAGGATATACAGAGGTGATGCTGCCTGTTAACAGGAAGGCTGGAAGCCAGGTCCCTCAGTCGGGAACTATGGAAACTACGGTGCTATGCCAGCTCTGCGCAGAGGCGGCGCTGCCGTAATCTCGCCGCCCCCTACTGCTGGGCAGCTGCTCCTGCCAGAACGCACTCACCTGATTGTGGCGTGGCTGCCTCCCTTGGGGGGTGATTTCTTGCTTGCTCTCTCTCTCTCTCTCTCTCTCTCTCTCTCTGGCGTGCACATGTGACCTATAGCAAAAACCTCTCCAAAAAAAAAGAAAGGAATCTTGGGGGCCAGCAGGTGGCAAGGTGGTTAAGATGCAGGAGATTTCCACATAGGCAACCACAGTTCAAGATCCGGACCCGGCAGCTTGCTTTCTCACTTTCCCTCTCTCTCTCTCTCTCTTTCTGTGTTTATCTCTGGTAAAATAAAAATAAATTAATGAATAAATAAAATTAAATAATTAAAAAAAAAAGTTTGGGCCAGCATTTGGCATGGTGGTTAAGGCCCTGGACTCCCACATGGCTGACCACAGTTCGAGTCCTGGACCATTGGCTTGAAATTCACGCCGGGCACATGTGCATGCATGCATAAGATCCCAGGAGGAGAATGGAAGAGAAGGAATTGCAGCATGGCCGTCCCCCTCAGGAGTGATTTCTCGCTTTCCCTCTTCCTCTCTTTCTCTGTCTCTCTCCCTGTGGCTAGCACAGGCCTGTATGACAACAAAGTTCTTAAAGGAAAGAAAGAAATTTGTCTTATACGTCTGCAGGTTACTCTGATGTAGCCCTCACCTTGCATTCATCAGTGCAGTTTTTGCCATGTGACATCACAGTCATACGTTGCCTAACGATAGGAATACGTTCTGAGAGAGCGCCGTCGGGTGAGGTCATCACTGCAGACGCCATCACATACCTGTATGAACCTAGCTGGCACAGCCGGCTGCCCACCTCGGTGCATGGTGTTCCCGTCTCTGCTGGACTTCAATCCTGTAAGGGACGGTCCTGTACTGAGTTCGGTATGCCTGTAGCACAGTAGTAAGCATTTGCGTATCTAAACATAGAGAAGGTGCAGTAAAAATACAGTCTAAAAGATAAAACAAAAAGGTACGGCTGCACCGTATCAACGGCGCTCGCAGGACTGGAAGTTGCTCTGAGGGAGTCCGTGAGTGCTGAGTGAATGCGAAGGGTGGGACCTTGCTGCACAGAACTGAAGACTTTATAAACACCGAAGCAGTATCTTTCTTTCCTCGGTAATAACCTTAGATAACTGTAACTTCAAAAGGATTTTTTTTTTTTAAATTTCCCAGAGGTCTTGTGCACTTGCAAGAGAGAGAAAGAGAAAGTAAGAAGGCACCCCCACCTCCCGTGGGGGGTGATCACACCACAATCCCATCTCCATTTTCCCCTCCTTTGGGGATTTCGGGCACACACACATGCATGCTTGTCATGTTTCCCAAGCTTCTGGGTCTGGGACTCAAACCACACAGTCATCCATGTGGGGTCCAGCTACGTAACCACCACGGCACCAGCTGGCCCAACAGTTTTACTTTATAAACTTTAAACTTTTTTTTTAACCATCATAAAACACACACACACACACACACACAATGCAGCTGTACAAAAATATGGTCTTTTCATTTGCTATAGGATGTATGTGTTTGCCAGAGAGACGGAAAGAGGGAAAGTGAGACGTCACCCCTCCCGCCAGGGGATGGCCATGCTGCAGCCCCTTCTCTATTCTCCCCTCAGAATTTTGGACGTGTCAGCACATGCACTCGGTCTGGTAACCATTCTGCGGGTCTGGAATTTGGACCTTGAAGTCAGCCACGTGGGATCCAGCCGCCTTAACATCTATTCCACCTGGCTGGCTCTGTTTTCTCTATATCCTTATTCTGTAAGCTTTTATCCCAACCTTTTTTTATTTTTAATTATTTTAATTTTATTTCACTTTACTTATTTATTTATTTTAAATTGACCGGAGAGGGACAGAGAGAGAGAAGTAAAGTGAGAAAGCAACCCACCATGTCTGAGACTCGAACCGTGGTCAGCCATGTAGGGGTCCAGCACCTTTAACTATTATGCCACCTGCCAGCCGCCCTACCATTGAATTCATTTATCCACTTAAGTACTTTTAAAGTTTCTTGGTTGAAAACTAAGATACAGGGCCAGCAGGTGGTATGGGGGGTGAAGCACTGGATCCCCACATGGCCGACTGTGGTTTGAGTCCCAGACCTGGCAACTTGCTTTCTCACTTTTGCTCTCTCTCTGTCTCTCTTTCTGGTGAGCACATGCGCCCTATAGCAAATTAAATAATAGTAATAATAATAATAATAAATTAAATTAAATGAATAATTCTTCAAAACAAAACAAACAGACTAAGACACAAACACACATATTAGCCTGGGCCTACCCAGGGTCAGGATCCTCACAGATTTGCCCCACTGGACGGACCATGATGAACAAAACATGAGACGAAATCAAGCACAAGAGACAATGATCCAGTCAAGAGATGAAGTCGGGACCAGCAGTTAGCATAACGGCTATGTCACTGGACTCCCATGTAGTCGACCGCGGTTCGAGTCCCGGACCCGGTGCCTTAAACTCACACCAGGCGCGTGTGCGTGCATGCCCAAGATCCCGAGAAGAGAATGGAGGAGAAGGGATTGCGGCGTGGCCATCCCGCCTGGGGGATGATTTCTCGCTTTCTGTCTCTCTGTCTCTTTCTGTCTTTCTGGCAAGCACACACGCCCTATAGCGAAAACCTCTCCCCGCCGCCCCCCCCCCAAAAAAGAGATGAAGTCAACACAAGATGCATGAGGCTGCTGCTGGCGTAACCGGCAGGTAGTTTTAGGTAGTTTGTTTAGGTTGCTATAGGGCACTTGCGCTTGTCAGAGACAGAGAAAGTGAGAAACTACCCCCGGGGGATGGCCGTACCGCGGTCTCTTCTCCATTCTCGAGATTTTGGGCACACACCCATATGCACCTGGTATGTTTCTCAGGCTGCCAATACAGGACTCGAACTGTGTGGGATCCAGCGGCCTTAATCTCCGTGCCACCTGCTGGCCCACTGGCTCGCTGTTTTACTGTGAAATTTTTTTATATAAGTAGGAATATACTTTAGAATAATGATAGAAAGTATAGTATAGTAGGGCAGCCAGGTGGCATGGTGGTTAAGGTGGTTGGATCCCACATGACCAATGGACAGTTCGAGTCCTGGATCCGGTGGCTTGAGAAACATGCTGGGCATGTGTGCAGCATGACCAAAATCTCGAGAGAAGAATGGAGGAGAAGGATTATGGCATGGTCATCCCCTACCCCCCAGCGGGGAGTACTTTCTCACTTTCCCTGTATCTTTCTATCTCGATCCGATGAGCACATGTGCCCAATGGGAAAGTTTTTTTAAAAGGGTGTATTAAATCCCTAACCAGTAGAATAGGTGATCGGTAGCGTTTTCAAGTCTGATGTGCTGTTTGTATTACTATGGACTATGCTTTCATACTGCTGGCAGCTGGTGAGTTTGTTTACCCTGCATCCACAGATACATGAATAACATGTAGCACTGTGCTTTAGGATGGCTACAGTGTCACTAGGCAACAGGAGTTTTGCAGCCCGGTAATCATATGGGACCAGGGTCCAGATGTTATGTACTGCCTGACTGTACTTATTTGCTTACTCATATATTATCTATTTCCACACATGAAAAGGATCTCTATTTCATTGTCTGAATATTTTTCTTCTCTAAATCATATCTTCTGGGTTTTATCTTCTTTTTTCTTTTTTTACCAGAGGGCATATGTGCTTGCCAAAGAGGCAGAGAAACAGAGAGGGAGAAAGCACCCGCGCCCAGCCCTTTCTCCGTCTGGCCCATCTTTGGGGATTTGGGCATGCATACCCTCCTGGTATGTTTTTCAAGCTGCTGGTTTCAGGACTTGAACCATGTGGTCAGCCATGTGAGATCTTGTTCCCTTAACCACCAGGCTATGGACCAGCCCATCCTTCTTCCTGAAATGCATCCTTTTTTAAAAAAAAAAATTTTTTTTATTTAACTCTGTTTACCTATTTATTTATTTTTAACTTGACCAGAGAGGGGAGAGAGAGAGAAAGTGAAAAAGGGAGAAAGAAAACCACCAGGTCTGGGACCCAAACCACAGTCAGCACCCCCAACCACCATGCCACCTGCCAGCCCCCTGAAATGCATCTTGGAATAGCGTTTTTCAGAGCCAGCCAGGTGGCGTGATGGTTAAGTTGGCTGGATCCCACACGTCCAGCTGTGTCGTTGTAGTCCCAGACCCAGTGGCTTGAAAAGCACACCTGGTGCGTGTGTGTGTGCCCAGAACGCTGAGAGAAGAATGGAGGAGGAGAAGGGCGTGTGGTGTGGTCATCTGCCTGGGCGGTGCGTCCTCATTTTCTCTCTTCCTTTGTCTGAAGTCTCGTCTTGTAGCAAAAGTAGGGAAAAAAAATTGTTTTTTCCCAGCAAGGGTGCTTGCTTTCCCTCCTCCTTTTTGTCCTCACACTCATAACTTACGACCAACTGCTGGCCAATCCGCTGATAACCTGCCGGGCTCTGTTTTCTTTACTGTCTTCTCACATGCTGTTTTCGTTTCTTTCAGGTTTCTGTTCAACTATTACATCATCTGAAAGGCCACCCCTGCTTCTTCCCTGTCCTGCTTTTTCTTCAGAGCTCTAGCACTACTTGATTTGTTTCATAAAATAGATAAGATATAAATGTATCGGGACCAGCAGTTAGTGTAATGGCTATGTCGCTGGACTCCCACATAGTAGACCACGGTTTGAGTCCCAGACCCGGTGGCTTAAACTCACGCCGGGCGCGTGTGTGTGCGTGCCCACGATCCCGAGAGGAGAATGGAGGAGAAGGGATTGCGGCGTGGCCATCCCCCCTGGGGGGTGATTTCTCACTTTCTGTCTCTCTGTCTCTCTCTGTCTTTCTGGTAAGCGCATGCACCCTATAGCAAAAACCTCTCCAAAAAAAAAAAGATATAAATGTATCAAAGTGTATTTATATACATACCCCCCCACACATATAAACATACATACACATACATATATATATAAAGGGCCAGCAGGTGGTTAAGGGGACTGGATCCCATATGGCTGGCTGTGTAGTTCAAGTCCCAGACCTGGTGGCTTAAAATCACACTGGGCACGTGTGCATGTGTGCTCAAAATCCCAAGAGGAGAATGGAGTAGAAGGGATTGTAGTGTGACCACTCTACCCACCCCTAAGGTGATTTCTCACTTTCTGATGAGCATAAGTGCCTTATAGTAAGACAGAGAATGTATACGTATAATTATATATGTATATTTGATATGTAGTTTATATATATAATATATTTATATGTGATTTTATAATACTTATATATATAATAAATACATAAATGTTTTTATATTATAAATTTATGTATAACTTATATATCATATATATATAAATTAAACTTTTTTGTTTTTTTTTAGAAGTTTTTGCTGTAGGGTGTGCGCACGTGCCAGAGAGACAGAGACAGACAGAAAACGAGATATCACCCCCCAGGGGCATTGGCCACGCTGCAATCCCTTCTCCTCCATTCTCCTCTTGGGATCTTGGGCACGCACGCACACGTGTCCAGTGTAAGTTTAAATCACTGGGTCTGGGACTCCAACAGCAGTCGACTACATGGGAGTCCAGAGACGTAGCCATTACGCCAACTGCTGGTCCCATATAAATTAATATAAAGTAATTATATAAGATACATAAAATATAATTCTACAAAGTACAATTTACTTAGATCTATAATAAATACATATCTATATCTATATATACAATACATATATACGTATATATGGGGGAAATTCAGAAAGTTTGTGGATAAGTGGAACTAAAGTATGAGTTTATTTGGGCGTAAAAACATTTGAAATCTACCCCAGGTTCATGGCAGAGTGGTAACGTGCTGCTCAAAGAAAAGTTGGATCCTGCAGTTCGGGCCTCTGCCCTGGTCAGCCTGAAATGTGCCAGGCACGTGTGTAAATGCGGGACCCCCGGGTGGAAGGCTGAATGGAGGGGTCACCGTGTGACCAGCCCCTGTGCAAGGCACACTGCTCTCTCCTTTCTTCCTATTGGTTGCATGTGCTCGCTGGAAAGAGCTAGAAAGGGAAAGTGCGAGATCACTCCCCCGGGGGCTGAGCACACTGCGTGCACTCCCTCCTCATTCTCCTCTTGGGATTGGGGCATGCACACAAATGCACCCCACATAATTTTCAAGCCACCATGTCTGGGACTGGAACTGGAAGGTTGGCCATGTGGGATTCAGCTACCTTAACTTCCACACCATCTGGGCTGGCCATTCACGAACTTTCTTTTTTTCTTTTCTTTTTTTTTTTTTTTTTGAGAGAGTTTTTTTGCCATAGGGCACATATCTTATCAGAGAGATAGACAGAGACAGAGAGACAGAAAGCAAAAAACACTTCCTGGGGGGATGGTCATGCTGCAATGTCTTCTCCTCCATTCTCCTCTTGGGATTTTGGAGATGCACGCACATGCACCCAGTGTGTTTCAAGCCGCTGGGTCCGGGACTTGAACCCTAGTTGGCCATGTGCGAGTCCAGCACCTTAACCGCTACATTACCTGCTGGCCCTGTTCTATGAACTTTTTGAAGATGCTCATATGTTTGTTTCTTGTGTCCTTTAATTTAATTTGGCTTCGTAAGGCCAAAATGTGGGGGTGGGGTTCTTTCATCCTTGGCTTTCCTAGTGCCTAGACCACCGCCTTCATAGGCATGCCCAGTAAACGTGTGCTGAATCATGGACTGCCTGGGCTGGGCAGCTTGCTTCCCGCAGCATGGGAGAGAGCAAAGTCTCCCGTCCCTGTTCCCTGGTCACCTGTGCCATGACACTCCTGCCCCCTGGCTTACTCCCTGCCACGATGTCCCAAGACTTTCACTGCCAACCCTGCTCAGCATTTACGTCAGCCCAGAGGTGCGTGGGCAGTTTCAGGTCGACCTCGGATTCAGTAACTGCTCACCACTTTGGCTGTTGCGTTTTGTTTTGTTTTGTTTGCCTTTCCTTTCCTTTTTCTTTTCAATTGCCAGAGGGCTCATGTCCTCATCAGACGGAGAGACAGGGAAGGCAAAAGCACCCTTAGTGTGGCGTGGTGACACTACAATCCCTTCTCCATTCTTCATCCTGGTGTGTTTTTCAAGCCACCGGGGCCGGCATTCAAACCTCAGTTGTCCATGCCTGACCACTAGGCCATGAAGCCAGCCCTTGGCTGGGGCCCTCACTTTGTTTGTAGACCCTGGCGATATCCTTTCCTTGCTTTTCAAGTCCACATTCAAATATTTTAACCTCACTTTATCCAACAAGTATGTGTGTGAAGCGGGAGAAAGGGCTTCTGCGTCTGTCCCGTCCTGCTGTCCTGTTAGCTGAGCCCTTGCCTGTCCGTTCACAGCTGTGTCACCAGCACCTAGGACCGAACACGGGACCTTGCACAGAGGAGGTGGTCAGTTGACGTTTGCGGAGGGAATGGCTACTCCCCATTTCATAGATGCGAACCTGAGGTCAGGAGGTAAAGGACGCGATGAAAACGCCAGGCCTCCGGGCTTACAGAGCTTCTGTTGGCTTTCCGCAGGGATCTGGTCGGCAGCCCTGAACGGAGACCTGGGCCGAGTGAAGTATTTAATCCAGAAGGCCACGGACCCTAGTCAGCCTGACTCGGCCGGCTACACCGCCCTGGTGAGCTGGGGAGGGGCACAGGGTCAGGGCAGAGAGAAGCTTTTAACCGGGCAGTCGGGAGTACCCTTTCCCTGAGGCAGGGAGGGAAGGGAGTCACTATGCGTCTTTTTTCTTCCGCTCTTCTCTTTCTGTAGGGTTTCTTGTTTAAGCATCGGGTGAATCTAGACTTTCAAAATTAGTATAAGCTTTACAGCAATTATTTAATTATATTTTTATAATAGCCTTATGAGGTAGGAATGGCTGTTATCCCATTTCTCAGTTAAGGAACTTGATACAAGAAATGACTCTCACCCAGGTCACACCCGAGCCCAGGCTCGCTCTCAACACCCACCCCGTCGTCTGCCTGGGTTCTGCCGTCTGACCTCCATCCCTGTTCCCTGTAGCACTATGCCAGCCGAAATGGGCACTATGCCGTATGCCAGTTCCTGCTGGAAAGTGGAGCAAAGTGTGACGCCCAGACCCACGGGGGTGCCACGGCTCTGCACCGGGCCAGCTACTGCGGGCACACTGAGATCGCCCGGCTGCTGCTCTCACATGGCTCCAACCCCAGGCTGGTGGATGACGATGGTATGACCAGTCTGCATAAGGTACACCTCATGCCCTTCCACAGCTCTTCTTATTCGGAAAGTTATAGCTCATTTTAGAAAACGTAGGCTATTGGGATCAGCAGATGGCATAATGTTTCTGTCGCTGCACTCCCATGTATTCGACCGTGGTTCAAATCTCAGACCCGGCAGCTTAAAACTCATGCAGGGTGCAAGTGCATGAATGCTCCACATCCTCAGAGGAGAACATCAGAGAAGGGATTGTGGCATGGCTATCCCCCCCCAGGATGATTTCTAACTTTCTGTCTTTCTTTGGTGAGCACACACACCCTATAGCAAAACAAAACAAAAACCTCTCTTAAAAAAAAAAGAAAACACAAGAGATCAAAGCACAGAGAAGAAAATTAAGATCATTTTCCATCTCAGTGCTCACGTATCATTACTTTAGTATTAATGAATTGTCTTCCATCCTTTGTCCTGTGTGTGTAAATGAACAGTAAACTGTGCTCGCCTCGGCAGCACGTACAAAATGTCGGAATGATACAGAGATCAGCATGGCTCCTGCACAAGGACGACAAGTAACTTTGTGACATGCCCCATAGTTCTGAACACATTTCACAAAGCTGAAAAAAAGTATTGGTGGGAGAGGGCAAGTGGCGTGGTGGTTAAGGGTGCTGGACTCCCACATGACCGACCGTGGTTCGAGGCCCGGACCTGGTGGCCTGCTTTCTCTGCCTCTGTCTCTGTCTCTCTCTTTCTCTGTCCCTCTCTGGTCAAATTAAAACAGACAAACCAATAAAGTTAAATAAGAATTTTTTTTTTGAGAGGTTTTTGCTATAGGACACATGCGCTCACCAAAAAGGCAGAGAGACAGAAAGTGAGAAATCATCCCCTGGGGGGATGGCCATGCTGCAATCCCTTCTCCTCCGTTCTCCTCTCCGGATCTTGGGTATACATGCACACGCACCCGGTGTGAGTTTAAGCCACTGGGTCCAGACTCAAACTGCAATTGACTACATAGGAGTCCAGCGACATAGCCATTATGCTAACTGCTGGTCCCTATAATTGTGTTTTTAATCTACGAGTTGAAAGTAGAAATTCAACCAACAGGGCCAGCAAGTGGTATGGTGCTTAAGGGTGCTAGACTCCCACATGGTCGACTGCGGTTCAAGTCCTGGACCTGGCGGCTTCTTTTCTCACTTTCCCTCTCTCTTGTTCTGTCTCTCTCTGGTCAAATTAAAATAAATAAAATTAATAAAGTCAAATAAAGTAATTATTTAAAAAAAAAAAAGAAAGAAAGAAATTCAACCAACAAAAAAGGAAAAGGAAAAGAAAAATGTAACACACCAGGCACAAACATGTGCCAGGATCCTGATGGGATGGAGAGCTGGAGGAAAAAGGACTGTGGTGCCACCAGGCCCTGCTAGGGGGCGCTTTCTCTTTCTTTCTTCATTTCTCACCTCCCCTTTCTTCATTTCTCAACCTCTTTTTCTCTTTCTCTCTTGTGCATGCACATGCCATCTGGCACTAAAAAAAAAAAAAAAAAAAAAAAGAACAAAAAGTAGAGTCCTTGTCATTTTCTCTCCCTTTAGTTTTATTTTATATTTTTTATTTTTCAATACGCTTGTAAAAGTTAAATTTTTTTTGGAGAGGTTTTTGCTATTAGGGCGCGTGTGCTCGCCAGACAGAGAGAGAGACTGAGAAATAGAAAGCGAGAAATCACCCCCCAGAGGGGATGGCCACGCCGCAATCCCTTCTCCTCCATTCTCCTCTCAGGATCTTGGGCACACACACACATGCGCCCGGCGTGAGTTTAAGCCACCGGGTCAGAACTCGAACCACAGTTGACTACGTGGGAGTCCAGCGACATAGCCATTACGCTAACTGCTGGTCCCAGTCATTAGTTTTATGACACCTGTCCTTCCTCGTGCCTGTCTTTGGAGCCCACTTTCTACACGACAGCCTGGGCAGCACAGGAGGCTGTACCCTGAATGTGCGTCTCCCCTGTCCTTCGAGGCCTTTTTGGCCACTTCCCTGGAGCATCTGTTTCCTGGTTCCTTCTGCATCGTCAGGGCGGGTTGTGTGCATTCCTGAAAGTTGTGTACGTGTCTCCCCCGCCCACTCTGATTCCCCCAAGCACAGTTTTTGTTTTTTTTAAGAATTATTTATTTAATTTTATTTTTTATTAGTATTTTTTAATTTGCTACAGGACATGCATGCTCACCAGAGAGAGAGAGAGAGAGAGAATGAGAGAATGAGAGAATGAGAGAATGAGAAAGTAAGCTGCCCGGTCCAGTACTGAAACCACAGTAGCCACATGGGAGTCCAGTGCCCCAACCACCATGCTACCTGCCGGCCTCCAAGCGGTAGTTTTAAGGCGCAGTTCTGATGGTGCCACTCTCCCATGTGCATCTGCAGAGGCTCGCTTTAACCAGGTCTGACAGCCGCTTCCCCAGGCTTCTGGGCTTAGCGCCTGTCTGTGGCTTCAGCTGGATCCTGAGCTCTTGTCCCCTCATCCCTTACACCCAGGCCTCGCTAGTCTTTCCATGTTCTCGAGCCTCCTCCTCTGTGTCCCTAGGGCTGTGCAGAAAGAGCTACTTAATCCCTCTAGGTGCCTCTCCCTCCCGTTTTGTTTACTTGTTTTGTTGGAGAGTTTTTTGCTATAGGGCGTGTGCACTTGCCAGAGAGACAGAAAGCGAGAAATCACCCCTTAGAGGCATGGCCACACCTCAATCCTTTCTCCTCCATTCTCCTCTTGGGATCTTGGACACGCACACACACGCACCCAGTGTGAGTTTAAACCACTGGGTCCGGGACTCGAACGGCAGTCAACTACATGGAAGTCCAGTAACAGCCATTACAGCAACTGCTAGTCCCCGTATTTTATCCAGCTCCTTTCTACCCTTCCTCTTGGATCTCAGCTCACATAGCAAGCCTCCATAGATCCTGGTCCCCAGACATGGTGAGCTCAGCTGATTCCTCCTAACTCCTGTTCCCCTTGAAATCCTATTTGAGATTGTTACCTCTCACTAGAGACAGTGGAGACTTCAGCTCGTTACTGTCATAGCCTCCGCACCTCGCGTAGGTACTCAGTGAGCGTGTGCTGGGTGGACCTCGGCGAGCACGTGCTGGTGAACCTCTGAGTGTGTGCAGGTGAATTGCTGCATGTTGGCTTGTTTTTAATCCTTGCCATTTAAGTAAGTTGGTGGCTGTTTTGTTTTGTTAGAGGGTATTTGCACTCACCAGAGAGAGACAGGAAGAGGAGAAAGCACACCCCCCCCATGGGAATTGTCATGCTGCAATCCCTTTTCCTCCTCCTCTCCCTCCTTTTGGGACTTTAGGCATACACGTACATATACCAGTAGGTTTCTCAAGCTGCTGAATTTGGGACTTGAACTGATGTGTTGGCCATGTAGGATCTGGCTGCCTTGATCACCAGGCCATGGAGCCTGCCCAGGTGACTTATTTCTTTTTCTTTCCTTTTTTTAACAGACATTATTTCTTCTTAATTTTATTCATTATTATTTTATTTTATTTTTGAAGCTGAGAAAGAAAGTGAGAAAGCAAGCTGCCATGTCCAGGATTTGAACCACGGTCAGCCAAGTGGGAGCCCAGTCACCCCAACCACCACGCCACTTGCCAGTCCCAGATTACTTATTTCTTTTCTTTCTCTTTGTTGAGAGATTTTTGCTATCGAGTGCATGTACTCACTGGAGAGAGACAGAGAGAGAGAGAGAGAAAGAGAGGAGGCAAGAAGTCACCCCCTGGGGGATGGCCATACCACAATCCCTTCTCGTCCATTTCCTCTTGGTATTTTAGGCAGCCGCTGGGTCTGGGACTTGAACCACTGTTGACCATGTGGGAGTCCTGTGCCTTAACCTATGCCACATGCTGACCCCTAGATTGTTTATTTCTTACCTGGTACCCTCAGTCATTTTATTGCCGCGGTTCACTCGGTGGCCGGTGCCACCCACAGACTGCAGCGTTTTAGGTGCATCTCCGTAAAGGGGAAATGGGTGAGTGGAGTGAATTTCTGTGATATTTTTCAAAATAAACTATTTTCAGGGCCAGCCAGGTGGCATGATGGTTAAGGCACTGGGTCCCATGTTGCCAGCTGTGTGGTTCGAGTCCTGAAGCTAGTGACTTGAAAAATACTGGGCGTGACACCAGCATATGGCATAATGGTTATGTGGCTAGACTCCCATGTAGTCAACCGTGGTTCGAGTCCCAGAGTTAAAACTCATGCTGGATACATGTGCATGTATGCCCAAGATCCCAAGAGGAGAATAGAGGAGAAGAGATTGCGGTGTGGCCATGCCCCCTCTTGGGGATGGGGGTATGATTTCTTGCTTTCTGTCTGTCACTCTGGCCAACATGCTATTCCCTATAGCAAAAACAAACAAAAACAACTCTTAAAAAAAAAAAAAAAAAAAAGACAAACACACAAAAAACACTGGGAGCATAGCCTGTGCATACGTGCCCAAAATCCTAAGAGGAGAAGGGATGGAGTCATGGCCACTGGCACAGAGGGGTGACTCCCCACTTACTCTCTTTCTCCTGGGGAGCACACATATCCTACAGCAAACCAAACAAAGAAAAATAAACTATTTGCAAAGGTGGATGGTTTATTTTTTGTGGAGCGCGACTTGCCGAGCATCTTACAGCTGCTCGTAGCATACTTCTGCCTGACCTTAGGCAGTGAGATTGAGAGCCTTGGGTCTGTGCTCATCAGAAGGACCTGCTAAAATAAAGATTTGCACTCGGAATTGGGATGGTGGTTGCTGTGCGTAGTAATTCTGAGACCTCTCAAAAGCACCTGTAGTCCGGTACTTTATCTGGTGGGAGAATGGGAACTGTACTAGTACAGCATGGAGTTAGGCCTTCCGACTGGGCGGACTCCATCGCTTAGCGATGACCAGAGTTGGAATCCCAGCCCCCATGGCTTGAACACACCAGGCATGTGTGCATGTGTGCCTCGGGTCCTTTCAGGATGGAGAAATGGAGGAAGGGTTGTGGCATGGCCATGCCCCACTGTGCGGTACTTTCTCCTTCTCTTTCTGTCTAAGTCTCTGTCAGACATGTGCACCCACCCTCTGACAGTTAGGAAAGAAAAAGTTGGGACCAGCAGATGGCGTCATGGTTGCATCATTTGGACTCCCATGTAGTGGACTGCGGTTCAAATCCTGGACCTGACGACTTGAAATTCACGCCGGGTGTGTGTGCATGCGTGCCCAAATCCAAGAGGAGAGTGGAGGAGAAAGGATTGCTATGTGGCCATCCCCCCCCAGGGGGTGATTTCTCGCTTTCTCTCTCTCTCTTTCTGGTGAGTGCACGTGCCTTATAGCAAAAATCTTTCTCTCCAAAAAAAAAAGATAAGGTTTTGCTCAGCTGCTGTGGCATGTGCTAGTAAGATGCTGTGATTACAGGCTAAGGCCATACAGGAGACCCGGCTTCCTTTTGAGTCACCTAAAAACAGGGTGTGGTAGCATGTGCTGATAGTCCCAACTACTTGGGAGCCTGAGACAGAAAGATAGTGACCAAAACCGAGACTGTGTTTGTTTGTAATTTGTTAGTGTGTGTGCATGCATTTGCCCGGGAGAGACTGGTGCAGGCGGGGAGCGGGTGAGAAAGCACCCCCGGGGAGGTGGCCATGCCGCAGTTCCTTCTCCATTCTCCTCTCAGGATCCTGGGCACGCACGCCTGGCATGTTTTCAAGCCACCAGATCTGAGACTTGAACCTCACAGTTGGCCACGTGGGATCCTGCCACTTTCACCACTATGCCAGTGCCCGGCTCAACCTTGTCTTCAATCTTTTCTTTTCTTACTTACTTTCTTTCTTTCTTTCTTTTTTTTTTAATTTTAGAGAATTTAGACTTGAAAGTCAGACAAGCCTGGTTTAGAATCCCCAGGCTGTCATGTGAGCTCTGTGACCTTAGGGAGGCTATTCCACTTCTAGCAGCCCGAGGTTCGCTTTAACCTGTACAGTGGGAATCATGATGTTCTCTACTTCTGAGGGTTGTTGTAAAAGTCAAACAAGGTCGTCTACATGAATGAGTGACTTCACTCTTTTTTTTCCTTAGAGAAGGTAGGTTAGAAATCAACATGTACATTGAGATCACCCATCTCAAGGGACGGGTGGGAGGGGCCGGGAACCTGGGCCATTCTTCCTGCTCATCTCGGAGTTTCCAAGGCACAGCCCGCCCCATCTCCTCACAGTACCCAGCACCTTTAAACGTTCGTGACATCTAAGTCTCTATACTTGTTTGCTTCTTTTTTTTTTTTTTTTGCCAGAGAGCACGTGCATTCACCAGAGAGACACAGAGACAGAGATAGGGAGAGAGTACCCTGAGGGGGGATGGTCACACCACGATCCCTTCTCTTCCATCTCTCCCGCCTTTTGGCACTTTGGGTACACACACATGCACCCTGCATGATTTTCAGGCTGCCGGGTCCAGGCCGCGAACTACACAGTCATCTACGTGGGATTCGTCACCTTAAAAACCACACTACCAGCTGGTCCTCTTTTTTTTTTTTTCTTTCTTTCTTTCTTTTTTCCAACTATATTTATTTATTCACGAGGGGGAGAGAGCACGTGTGCACGCATGGGGTGGACACCCTTCCCTGGGTCTTACCCTGCTGCAGCCCCCTCCCTCAGCTCTCCAGCTCCTCAGGGTCTTGGGTGCACACTCATTTTTTTTTTTTTTTTTTTTTTGAGAGATTTTTGCTATAGGGCGTGTGCACTCGCCAGACAGACAGAGAGAGACATAGAGACAGAAAGCGAGAAATCACCCCCCAGGGGGGATGGTCACGCCGCAATCCCTACTCCTCCATTCTCCTCTCGAGATCTTGGGCACGCACGCACACGTGCCCGGCGTGAGTTCTAAGCCACCGGGTCCGGGACGTGAACCGCGGTCGACTACGTGAGAGTCCAGCGACATAGCCATTACGCTAACTGCTGGTTCCCTTGGGTGCACACTCTTGGCACATTCACTGGCCGACTCGGATCTGAACCCACAGCTGGCCGCGGTGCCTAGCACTGCAGTTCAGTGTGCCACCACCTGTGCCACCGAGGCTGGCCCTGCCCTTGTTTTTAATGAGTTGGTCTGGCCACGGGGCAGAGCACACAAGGAAATCTTAGGCTGACCGCCAGACCGGAACTGGGGAAAGCCACTCCAACAGCCTGTGCCTCCATTTCCACGAGGCCTCTTTTCCAGGAGCAAGAGGGCCCCGGAAGTGGAGCAGGAAAGAGCAGGACCGGGGGGCTTTCAGTCTTTGATCTGGACCTCTCTTTGCAGGCTGCGGAGAAGGGTCACATGGACATTTGCTCCCTCCTGCTGCAGCACAGCCCAGCCCTGAAGGCCGTCCGGGATCGGAAGGCACGGCTGGCATGTGACCTGCTGCCCTGCAACAGTGACCTGCGGGACCTGCTGGCCAGCTGAGTCATTGCCCTCCTGTCTCGGGCTGCCCTTGAAGGAGACACAGACTGACTCTCCCAGCTCCTGTCGCTGTCAGCATCTGTGCTGCAGGGCAGGAAAACGAGGCCAGAAGACCCAGGAAAAACCTCACTCTGGCCACTGTGGAAGTGAGGAAGCCGATTCGATGGGGCCGAAAGTGTTGAAGTCTGGACAGATGATCATGTTCTAAATGAGTTCATGTGGAAACATCTATCCATCGGGAAAAAATAAAATTATATTCTTACCTCATCCACGTACGAAGGTAAATTTCAAAATTAAGGACCTAAATATAAAGACACAAGAGTTTTAGAAGAAAATATTGGGAATAGCAGATGGTATAGTGGTTACTTTGCTGGGACTCATGTAGTCAGCCCCAGTTCGAGTCCCAGACCTGGTGGCTTGAAACTCAAGCCAGATGCACATGAGTGCATGCCCCAAATCCCAAAAGCAAAATGGAGGAGAGAGGACTGCAGCGTGGTCACCCCCTGGGAGGCGATTTCTCGCTTTCTGTCTCTCTTTGTCTTTCCAGCGAGCACACGCACCCTATAGCAAAAAATCACCTCTCTTTAATTTTTTTTTTTTTTTAGAGGTTTTTTTGCTTCAGGGCGCGTGCGCTC